CGGGTAAAAAAAGCATTCCTGAAAAAATAAAAAAAAAAAAAAAAAAAATTTACAAACTAAATTTGAAAAAAACAAGTTAATGATGCTTGACTGTGTTGACTGACAGAAGCTGCCGTGGGCGGTTGCCAGATCCCATGTCCGAGTGAGTCTATATGATATTCTCATCCTTAGATATGACTTGATCCATTTAGATTGCCCATGTGCCTCCTCACAGTCTTATAGTACTACACAATTCAATTTCCCCTCACTCAACTATGCTGCCCATTCATCTCTTAAAACTGGACATAATTCACGGTTATAATCTTGTTTTTACATCATTTACTCATGGGGAAAGGGCATTTGTTTTGGTTCATCATATGATTCATCAGAGCCTAGTTCAGTTTGATGGCATTTCTCCTCAGTTAGTGGACACAGAGCCAAATGTAAACAAATGGCTAAGCTATAGATAGAATCAGAATTAAGAGTGAGTGGGAATCACTTCTGGCCACAATTGGCAGGTCTGTTTTGTTGTTCTGTTCATAAACTACCGTTCAAAACTTTGGGGTCAGTAAGAATTAAAAAAAAAATCTATTAATACTTTTATTCAGCAAGGAAGCATTACATTGATCAAATGTGACAGTAAAGACATGTATAATGTTATAGATTTCAATTTCAAATGAGTTCTGTTCTTATGAACTTTCTGTTCATCAAAGAATTTTGAAAAAACAGTATCATCGTTTCCTCAAAAATATTAAGCAGCACAACTGTTTTCAACATTGATAATAATAATAATAATAATAAGAAGAAATGTTTCCTGAGCAGCAAATCAGCATATGATGATTTCTGAAGGATCATGTGACTCTGAAGACGCTGAAAAAAAAATCCAGCTTCACAGGAATAAATTACATTGTAAAATATATTCAAATAGAAAACATTTTAAATTGTAATAGTATTTCACAATATGACTGTTTTTACTGTATTTTCTATCAACTAAATTCAGATTTATTAAGCATAAGAGACTTCTTTCAAAAATATTAAAGAATCATACCAACCCCAAAATTTTGAACAGAACTATATGCACAGAGAATTAATTTATGATTCAGGTATTAACTCAAACTAGATATTATTTTAATATCCTTTATATTAAACAACCATGAAGAAATTCCAGTAGATAAATGTGATGAAAATGAAGGTTTTATCTGTACCTGTAGCAGTTATTGTTGAAGGGATTGTAGCTGGACAGGGCAAGCAGAACACCAAAACCAGGCCCAAGAGAGAAGAAGATCTGCGCAGCTGCATCTACCCATACCTACAAAATATTAGCTACTATAAAGAAAAGTGTGGCTAGAGACAAACACATGAAAATGGATCAACAATTTGTGAGTAATATGGTTTGAATCATAATAATAATCTTTAAAATTCACTATATTTCAGTTCCAGTTTAGGAACTGAAATGGTTAGGAAATGCTGAAGACAATGACATCACAGAATACTGGGATTAAGAGGTGCTTGATCACATCTGAAGGATTTGTGTGAAGAGAAACGTGTGTATGCGCGTGTGCATGAACGTGTGTGTCAATGAGTATGAGGGCCTTTCATGATGGAAAAAAATTCTGAACCAATTACGCATCTCATTAGCCCCTAGTGCTTTATTTTTGCTTCTCTGCACGGTTATCTGCAGCGCTGCCTCACCTAGCAAACAGTACTGGGCTTATATAGTCACACGATTTAAAATATTAAAAAAAGATGCAGTTTACATATTGCCTTCACTGAACATTTATATACCTATGACAATATTCCTTTTTTTTATCTTTTTTTTTTTATTATTGACTTATTTCAAAATTTATGAAGAAATATGCCCTTTATGAAGTCCATATTTTTTCCCAAGTCAGTTCAGCTACTAGTGATTCACGAGTTTCCTGCCCAAATACCTCAGGTGCTTTTTATTACTGCATGAAATAAAAACACTTTCCCACATACATGCATTTTGCCATCAAAACGGCACAAATACATTTAAAGAGGTAACAAGATAAGTAAAGAATGTCAAGAAACAACACAATCTAATTGAACAATAAATCAATGCTAGACAAAGAGAAAAGACTGCGAGCCAGCCCGTAAGAGAAAAGCACTCACGCTGGTCTCCTGCAGTTTCTCCCATTTGGGATTGAGGTAGAACACCACTCCTTTCCACGCTCCTGGCAAAGTTGCACCACGGATCATAAGAATCAACAGCACCACGTACGGCAGGGTGGCAGTCACCCATACTACCTGAGAGAGACATGTGAGGATGAGAGGATGTGGAATGACTTTTCCTCAAACAATAAAACACGTTCCGTTTAATATTTTAGGACTCAGTAACCTTTCCTGAAGTCTTGACTCCTTTCCACAGGCTGAAGTAGACGATGGTGAAGATGAGGAAGAGGCAAAGCAGGAGCTGCCAGCGAATGTATCCCACATGCCCAAGCCCAGATGATTCATGGACTGCCAGTACATTCCTCCTGTTTTAAGAAGGATTTACAAATATGCAGTCGGAAACTGACCTGAACCACAAAGTATATGCATATAACACTTCAATGTACACAAGTTTACTGGACAAATAGGTTCTGAAGTATAAGAAAGAAATGTTGGCCCAATACAAAATATAAACACAATTCTCCACAAACTGAAAAGTTTTATCAGTCATTTTGCAGTTCTTTTGGCACTTAACTGAAAGATTAAATGTACTTCAAGCCGACATTATGTTCCTGTAGCTTAAGTTCCTTGAATGTAATTTGCTTTGCATATATATATATACAGTGGGTACGGAAAGTATTCAGACCCATGGTGTTCAACCTTTTCTACTGAGATTTGTAGTAGTCCATATTTGCAACAAATTCGTCTACAATGCTGTTTTTTCCCATTGTTATTTATTTTTGCTAAAACTAGCCCTCATTTTCTTTCTCTTCCCTGCTTCCCTCTCTCTTTCGCTGCCATATTTGCCCCCTTTCAGTGCAGCCACTTACATGCACTTACGTGTAAAACTCCTCGGCAGGTGAGCGTGAGTAGTTAGTCCAGGTCACGTTGTCTTTTCCGAAGTAGTTAGTGCAGTTTTCTGTGTTCCATTCATTATCACAGTTGGTCCAGGGCAGAGTGCTGCTGAAGGAGGAGTAGAAGTAGAACAGAGCCCAGGCGATGATGGTGTTATAGTAGAAGGACACATACAGTGCAATGATGCAGATGGCGAAACCAATACCTGACAGGGAAGGGGAAATGATGTCAGTGTTTTGTTAATGAAATCTCTCAGTCTGAGTGTCATTTTTCTCTTTCCATCTATCTCTGTGACTGTGTATTAGTCTCTTATTCTTTCATTTTAATATCCATCTAGACTTTTAACCTTTGCAAAGTTAGGACTTTAGAAACGAGAACATTTTTAGATCTTTAAAGCTAAAACATTACAATATTGTATATGAGACAGAATTAGATGACATGTTTCTTACCTTTGAAAATAGGGCAAATATGTTTCCATATGGATATGGCACCTGTTCTGTGGAACTGTCCCAGAGCTAACTCCATATAGAAAAGTGGCACCCCGCCAAATACAGCCATTAGGACATATGGAATAAGAAATGCACCTGAAGAACACAATTATAACAGATTAAAGCGCCTTTTTCACTATTAACTATTCACTATTATCTAGTTACTTATTAGCATGTATATTGCTAGGATATTGTCTTTTTATTAGTACTTGTAAAGCACATATTAATGTCTTATTCTGCATGACCATATTCTAGATCCCTTAACCTAACCCATACCTAACCTTAACTACTACAAAAACTACCTTACTTACTGTCAATAAGCCACAAATTAGGAGTATATTGAGGGAAAACTCGTAGTTAATAGTGAATGTGTTCCCTTATCTAAAGAGATACCAAATCTTCCATTAACTAAATATGTCTGTATGTTGTAAGTATTTCTGTATGTTAATAAAGCCTGTTACATTTCATTTCAAAGATTTCATAAACCAGTAGGCTACTTTAAAAAAAAAAAAAAAAGGTTTGAGATGAGATTTGCAGTCTGACACTTGTTGATCTCAGTATCTGCCCAGTTTAAATCATGAATAGCCTTTACATGATCGATGACTGCAGCTGGCCATGTCTGCTTCACAGGTGCACTGGTGCAGAAGTTTAAATAAACATAATTATAATAAGTATTATTTCATATAATACAAACCAAAAAATAATATAGTAAACACTGTAATATGAAAAGGTAAATAATCCCATGGCGGAAACAGGGAAAACCACGTGTGAAAAAGCCTGAAAAACTATTTTAAAAAAAGTTTTACTTCAGGTTTGTTACGTCAATATGTTTGTTTTTTAAAAACCACAAAAAAAAAAAAGGAGCTTTCAGGTAGCTTACGAAAGCATTAGTTGTTTTCACCTTTTATAAATAGGAAATTACGCACTGTAAAATTAATTTCATCATGGTGATGGATGGAAATCTTTGTTTCCATTCATTTCAATTTTCATAAAACGTATGTTATTTCAATTCGATGTTAATGTTTTCTTACGTTTCTAACGTTTTCTTTTAATTAACATTAATTGGTTGTGGTGTTTAATTTAATTAATTAACTTTAATTTTGCTTAAAAGTGTAAGCCACCAATTAAACCTAAATTTGACATTTTATTGAGCTGAAAAGGTTTAGTGTAAGATATTATCAGAAAACAGTTTCTGTTGCTTCTTCTGTAGTTAAGAGGTTTGTCAAACGTTTAAAATAAACACACAAAAAACACTTGTTAAAGTAAGACAGACAATACAAACGGAGTTTAAAAACTCTCACCGCCGCCGTTTTGATAACAGATATAAGGAAATCTCCAAACATTTCCGAGGTCTACAGCAAACCCAATGACTGATAAAAGAAAATCCATTTTTTTGCTCCATTTATCGCGGGATTCTGTCTGAATGATGACGGGCACCGGGTTGCTGTTGTACCCGGCGTTGTTTGGAGGACCCGGGGCGCAGAGGTTCCCGTGAACCATCACTTGCTCTTGGTGGGGCATCTTCGCTGGTCCCGGTGACTTGGCAAACTGCAGAAGTACTTATAAACTGCTTACGAAGTGCCTTTTGTGAGTTTTGTGAGTAAAAAGTAGTAAGAATATTTTTTTCGATTATGCTCGATGTGCGGTCAAAAGAGGCTGCGCGGGGGACCGCAGCATGCTGCTGTGGTTGATTTCCCTGCTGGTTGGAGTAAAAGCTTGAGGATTAACCAAGAGTCCCCCACCTGAGCGCGAGAGCTTTGAACGAATGAGATTACACGCGGGAGATGCGCGCGGCACCATCACTCACCCCTGACATCCCGCGAGCCCACCGCTATCGTTCAAATGGACTTCTCCAAGAGCGCGCTTGAGTCCTCAAGAAATATTGCTCTATTTGTCAACGTAATAATGACACATTTTTTTGAAGACGAGGCAAGAAAAGCATGGTCAGTGCTTGAGTATTAAAATTAAAATCGCTTCAGAAATACCATTTAGGTTTTAAAAATGAATTCAATAAATTTAATCTGATTTCCCCCGCTTGAGAAAAAAAAAACATAGCTGGTTCAGTCTGGTTACTGACTGGTCTAAACTGGTTACTAGCTGGTCTAAAACTGGTTCAAGCTGATAGAACATGTTGGACCCGCAACAAACCATGTACTGGTCATATAAAAGGGTCAAGATGATCGTGACAGATGGTCAGCCAGATTTTTACCATTTTAGGCCAGCTAATGACCACCTCAAATCAGCTAGAAACCATTATCACGCACTGTGACTATATACAAATATCAACCCACTAAAACAAATTTTGACTTAAACATTTAGGCAAACTCACGGTGATGTTTAAGTTATAAACTGCAGTGATGAGTTCACTGTGTTTTTTTCTAGCACTTTGAATTTAATTGTTGTTGAAGAAAAAGTATGAAAACTCATCAAGTAGAACTGAATGAAATTGTGACAAGTTAAACAAAGATGGGAAGTGTATTGATTTTTATTGAATCTGTCATCATTTGCTTACAAAAACAAACTGTCACAAAAATAAAATCTTTTGTGGCATATAGCAAGATAACAACATAAAAAACAGATCTAGATAAAAAAAAACAGACTGAGTCATTTATGTGCAGGGTGAATTAGAAATGAATATTTCAGAAATAAGTCATCTTAATATAGCAGGAAATATATAGAATTTGTTTAGGGGGAAAATTTCCAGTTTACGGTAAAAATCTATATTTTTAATCCAATACGTGTGGTGCTTGGTGATTTTCAATATTAGGTGTCTGACAAGCATAAAATGTGCTAAAATGTAAAATACTCTAATTTCATTTTTTTTTTTGTTGAAACCAGATTGGCGATATGTTTTTGTTTACTCAAGTTTTTTTATTGTCTTGACCTGTATCCTACACCTTGCATTAGGCCATTGTATTGGATGAAGAATGGATTGTGAGGTTTCAGGCCCATGCTATTTTGACAGCAGAGCAGTGTGAATAACATTTTGAGTTTCCCTGGCTTCCTGAGCAGGCAGATGTAATAGTATTTACTGGAGATCCAGGAGAGTGTATCTGCTCTGTGGTCTAACTGTCCTCATTAGGTAAACCTAATAAAAAGAGTTTGAAATCAAATCCACCGCTTTAAGCACTGGCTAATCGAAAAAGTCCTAACTAGATATAGAGACTGCAGTAATCGTGTAGGTCACTGGCCAGAGCGTGCAGCAAATAAAGTTAGACTCATAAAATGGAAGCCCTTCGTGAGGTCTGGATCATACGCCCAAGTGAAAGAGAAGATAACTCGAGTCCATTAATATAGAATCACGTTAAGAGAGGTACATTCATTGCTACTCGTTCTGATATTAATATATATGTTGAAATATACAGCAATTAATTGCAGCTTCATAAATTATAACTGCAGGACATAATTAATACCTACTTGAAATGTAGTAGTGCATTATTGTGTTCATTGTATAGGTACATACAATGGAATGGTAGTTCGCCATTCCTCTCAATTCACCTCCATAACACAGTCATGCTGCAAATATGGTGGAATCACTTGATTTAAGAATTTTAGACTTGCATTAGAAAATAAATCATGTCATATACAGTATGTATATTCACAGTATTATATATTATGCACATATACTAAGAAACACACCACACGTGGCTCTCTTAAATACTTGATTCTGATTGGTCAGATTACAAATGGCCTCATTCGCTTTTACATTAAAAATAAGGTGGAGACATAGAAAAAGATCACATGTTGTACAACACAGCTGGCTTCAGGAGTATGAACTATCTACAGTCACACATTAATATTTTTATGTTTATATAATTTAAATTTACTTTAAGACAGCATTGCCACCTAATATAAAAGCAACAATTAACTACAGCTTAGTTCTAGAATAATCCTTACAGGAACTAGTTTGAAAGCATTTCCTGTTATCTTCGACAATTAAATTTCTT